TATTTCCTAGCGCAACTTAATGATCTGTTTTTTCAACTTCAGCACGGCTTGGCATAGTATCTCTGGCTGAATACAAAGCATTCAGATTTTTTTCGAGTAGAGCAATCTTATTTTTCATAGCTTCCTGAGAAGGTTTTGCTCTTTTGTGATTCATTACCGGGTTTTATTTTATCTTCTTCCTCTTTTTTAATATTTGAAGCTGACTGTATAATTTGTGTATTTTATGCAGGTTTACAGGTTGACTAAAAATAAAAACTTTCTATGGCTTCTGCTAAAGATTCTCTTATTGAGCTACATAAATACAAAGTATGGCAATATATATGGCAAATACAAAACCCTATGGCTTTAAATCTAATATGTTTAAACGAGCAATTCGTTCCGGTCACAAAATACGGGGTGTTAGTTTTCTGTATATACTTCGTAGTTGAGTCATTTATTTTAACAGTGAGTAGATCTGATAAAAAGAAATGTTTTTTTCCTTTACCATTTTTCTGGTAAAATTAAAGTAACAAAGTTATAGCCCTTTGGAAGTTTGAGTACCGCCCTGTCTCAATAATAATATCATGTGCTCGTGTTTGGCGACAACGGATATAATCCGCCTTATCGGTTCATCGCATCGGAAACAAAAAAGCGAAAGAATTTGGAACGATGTTTTTACAATTATTTTATTCAGTTGTATACATACAGTCAGTGTCAGTCGGTAACGCGTGTGAATAGTGGTGTCTGTTGCGTGGCTCAAACGAAATAAAAATTGGCACATGTTTATGCGGATCGGTTTCCCAATCGAGTGCAACCAACCCCTCGTGCCTTTGTTAACGTAGTTCAACGGGCTCGTGAATCAGGTGACTTAAGACCTCACAGGGGACCTCACGATCAAATACAGGTCCGCACTGAAATACTTGTCGGGAGGATACTTTATAAAATAAGGTAAAATTTTTTTTTTATTTTTTTTTTATTTTTACACACATATTTTGGTTTATCTTCCTTCTACAATCATTATCTGAAAATTAATGACTCAACTTCAAAGTCACCCTGTATGTATAAAACTAACATCCTGTACTTTGTGACCAATTGACGGAATCAATCATAAGAAATAAAACTATAATATAATGAATATTACCTCTATACTTTGAGATAGGCCATAATATTTACTAATCAGTAAAGAGAAACTTTTCTAATATTTGTACCTAAAATGATTTCGTCGCTCACCTTAGAAAAAACATTTAGTAGATTGGATTTATTCTTAGTCGCCGCCTGCAATTCTTCTTCGATTCTCTTAGATACAATAATAATCTAGTTCCTTGTCGGATTTTGCTTGTAATTTGTAATTTCGCCACACTTCGTTAACTAACTTTTGTACATTTTGTACTTTCGTACTTGTATGAGATTTTTTAAAAATTTTAAACAATTTTTCGTATAATTTGGATTTGTCTATGTGAAACGAAATCTTATTTAATCATTACACTTTGGCTAATGGAATCAATGGTAACACAAATGTTAACTTGCTTTACTATGCTTACAGTACGTCTACTCGCTATAGTATCCAAACGAAACAATACACTGATAGAGGAAATTTAAACAAGTGAACACCGCGCGGTAATTCCCCTACTCGGTTCTAAAGCGAGTACGGGAATTACCGCGCGCTGACTAAACGTAAGCATTATTTGCGGGAATTCCCGAAAATGCGTTTCGTTTTCAAGCAAAGGGTTTCCATTCGTGTAAAAAAGTAAATAACTACCGATGACGTAATCAACATCTAGACTCCCCTAGTCCCCATGTCATCCAAAATAAGCAAAGGTTATCGCGAGAACCATGGATACAGACTTCTTGTACCAGTCCACCGCTGTTGAAATACTGCATCATTATTTTCTTGTACAAAATAGCAAAATGTGCTAGGCAACCATTCAACTGCAAAAGACCCAACCTCAGGTCAAAGCCTTCCTTATTCAAGGCCTGATGCAAAACGACATGTTATGGGTGCATTCTAAAAGTAATTAAAAAATATTTAAATTTAAATAAATCCGTATATTTTGATGGCCATTGGAATTAGAACTTATATTAAAATTCTTTGCCGGTGAAACGTAGGCCGAAAGCTATCATTGGCTCGTGGGCTAATCGGGGAAAGATTCTCACATCGCAAACACGTCGATTTTGATATCGAGTTGTGTAAACTCTTTTTGCTGCTGCAGCATTCTGAAGACATTCAAAATAAACTGCAAGCATATCAACAGCTTCATCGTACGTAAAACGCATTTGGCAAGCACAAAAATTGCTCAAAGTAACGCGAAACTATTGACTCTGAGTATTATTTGTTTTTGGTTGGGTATTTGTTTTGTTGTATTCCATGGCCTGCCTCTCTTAATTGTCTGTTTCATATATACCCATAGGGAATATGCATTTATATAAAACATATGCCGATTAAAGAGGGTCATTTCATTCTGATGAATAAAAAAGGATTCCAAAAAAATTGATTTAAAAAAATAGAAATTTCTGTATAAAATTTTCTTTGGCCTAAATTTTAGGTTAGGAGCAAGATATCGATGCGGCTATCGCGAGCTTGTTCAAACATAATTTAGCTACTTTTTTATAAAACAAAAAACTTATCAATGCATTTAATTTCCTTGTACAAAATTAACCATTGCTGACGGAATGTTGAAAAAATTGTAGGGGCCACACGTGAAACTAACAAAACTTCAAATATTATAACATTTACAGCCCTAGAGTAGCTCTTTTCAATTAGCCCAAGTTTGTGAAAACCTGTTTAGCCGTTGCTAAGACTTTTACGGAAACCTTTGGATATACCTCATCACTTTATTTCTAGAGACACAGCAAAAATTGTTGAACAAAAAAGGTTCAAATCATCCTAGACTTTAAGGATCAGGTATTTTTTTGTTAAGTCAATATAGCAGATTTCACAGAAACATCACTTTTTTAGATTCAAGATTGTATTTACGCCTCGTAGCGGCCATTTCTGAAACTTGAAAATATTTTCCAGGTTTTTCTCTTGACCGTTTTAGTCAGAACATTTTTGTGCCGCAAGCCTCTACGAATGGTAGGTTCTCAGATACAGTATCTCGCAATCCTAGTTTGCCACCCTGTACACGTCATATAGCATCCAAACACTGGCGCTCCCTCGGGTAGGGGGAGGGGGTAAAGGGGGTAATTACCGCCCCGCCAGATGACTCGAGCAGTCTTTGAAAAGGTGATATAAAGTAAACGTCTTATAAAAAAAATCTGCAACTTTAAGAAAGGATAACGGCAACACTGCCAATCAGCTCAGTGCGCATGCGACTAGCGACTACTCTCCCACCAACAGCAACGGTGTGCGCTTTTTCCTGTTGGAACAGGTGTAGTCTAGTCTTTTATGATCTAGTCTAGGGTCTAAATTCTGTACCAGTCCGGAGTCCGCAACAAAATTTGGCTGAGAAGTGAACAAGCGGAGTTTTGTTGATCAGGTTGGTATTAACGCTATTTTCTATGTTCTATTGATTTTTATTTTCCACGCATAAGCCAGAAAATTAATTTTTGTTTGTTTCTATAAAAGAATCGAGTCTTAAAAAATGTCAGACGGAAAAATGTAAATTTAATATAATTTCAATTACGAAGTGTTTGGTTCATACTCCAGCTATTATATCATCTATGTCTATTTCTCGGAAGTCCCTGTATACGAGTATAAGAAGTTCAATGCCTTTCGTTCGTCCGAGATGGCAAATCATATATTTAGTTTTTGAAAATTGCGTGAACTTAAGAAATCTTGTTTTCCAACCAGAAAAGGTTCTTTGTTAAAGATACGTGAATGCGTGGAAACCAATAATGCCGTTTATTTGACAATATTTGTGTATCTTTTAGTGCTGGATGACGGCTGCTGTTATCAGGATGAGTAAAAGGAAACAGAATACCATCGATTGGTTCCTTTCTAAACAAACCAAACTGTCTGATCCACCGGCACAAGAATTACTGGAAAAAACTGATGATAAACCTGAATTCAACCTGAGCCTTCCACTTCAAAATTTCTTGATATTGCACCGTATGCTGAACCAAGTGTTGCACAATCGGGTACGAAACCTAATGGATCCAATTTTGTTGTTGCAGCACCATACGAGTATGTAAATTTCAGCGGCAACTTGTCTTCCCATGAAAGATATACCTTATTAAGGTGTGCAATGATCCCTAATAACTCTTTCAAATATCCCTATTCCACACACTTGAAAAATAATAAAGAAGTGAAATGTTACTTATCAAAAAAAACACTTTGAGAAATCTCCTTGGCTGTCATATTCGGAGGAACTACAAGGGCTTTTCTGTGAATATTGCGTGGTTTTTTCAAAATTAGGAGGAGTACATAAATCAACTAAATTGGGAAAACTTGTTACCGTACCAAAACACTAAACAAATTTTCGAAATTGTATGGCAAAACCGGTGATTGTGAGACACATGAGAACTCAATGTATCATACAGAAGCAGTTTCAGATGCTACAAACTGTTTAAAGGTTTACGAAAATCCAGAGAATGATATGAGAAATATAGTAAGTTCATAGCGACTTAAGCAAGTATCAGAAAATCTGCAAAGATTGACTCCTATAAAGAATCTATATTTTTTTTAGAACGCCAAAATATACCACTTACCACTTAGAGGGCATAGAGATAGGGGACGACGTTTTTTCTAATGAAAGCACGAATGACGAGGATGTCCTTAATAATGAAGGGAATTTTAGAGGACTAATATGGTTTAGAGTCGAGAGCGGTAACAATTTATTGAAAAAAATCTTAGAGAACTCAAAAGCGCATGGTACGTACATAGCAGCCGCATCCAAAATGAAATTGAAGCGTGGTATTCCCAAAGGGTCTAAGTGCCAATATTTCTGAATTTCATATTTTTCCTCCAAAAGGATCTACATGCTTTAATGCATGCATTAGAAAAGGGTCCAAGTACATATTCGACGAAAATGTATTTAATCTCCCCATTTGATAGTTGACGTTCTCGTACTCGGTCGTGACTTGTTCATTGAGAAGGGTCTAAGTGCCGAGTACAGGCGTAATATTATTACGTGCATTTAATAATAAACAATGAGTGAAAATCAAGTAAACAACCCAAAGCGACGTGCCCCAGGGTCTGAAAATAAAAAGAATGAAATGAAACGACTGAAATATAGTGGCCTGGCATATCACAATCGAAGTAACAAGGATATTGCTGCTAAGAAGGCGCGAAGTTTTGAGGTTAGTTGTGTTTATTTCTATTGTTTTAGTCAACAAAAGTAAATAAGTTTGTTTTATTCCAGGTATTTTGTAAATGTAAATATGAGTGCAGAAAATTGCCCTATGAGCAAAAAATATTTTTATTTGAAGATTATTATAAAATAGCTAATCATGTGAAGCAAAAATCTTATCTGTTGGGACTCATACAAATTGGCAGTGTAAAAAGAAGACGGAAAATATGAATCTGCAGAACAAAGTCGCCGACAAGCTACTGCATGGTACACGGTTCCAAACGGAAATGGCCAGCATGTGCAGGTTTGCCGTCAAACATTTTCAAACATTTTTGCCCTATCACACAAGGCAGTGCAAGTTTTAACAGAAAAAAAAAGTTGGGAGAAACAGTGTATACAGATAAAAGAGGCACGTCAAATGAACCAAGAAAGTATACGACAGCGATAAGAGACCAGGTTAGAGAACACGTACAAAGTTTTCCTTGCGAAGAGAATCATTATAGCAGAAGCAAATCACAAAAGAAATTTCTGAGTCCAGATTTGAATATAAATCGCCTATACTTGGCATTTAAAAGACAGTTTCCCGATACAGAGGTTACTTATAAGTACTACTTGACAGTATTTAAAAAGGATTTTCCGCATTTACGATTCGGTCGCCCCAGAACAGACACTTGCTCAGTTTGCGATCTTTACAAAAATAAAATAAGTTATGCCCAAAATCAAACAGAAAAGGATGAGATGAAAGCCAAACTTGTCCTACACCACAGAAAGGCGGAAAAGGCTAGACTAGAAATGGAAAAAGACGGTAATTTGTCACAAATCCCGACGGCCAGCATTAGCATGATGTCTATAGATTTAGAGCAAGTTTTATTTTTGCCAACACTTACACATACGCAGATGTTTTATAGCAGACAGCTTTCGTGCTATAATCTAGGAATACACATATCTAATACTGGAACTGCTCATATGTGCCTTTGGGACGAATCCATAACAGGTAGAGGAGCTAATGAAATTGGATCTGCCCTTTTAAAGTGCCTTAACTTGCCAGCTTTGAATATGAAAAAAAAAACTTAGTGATTTGGTCGGATAATTGCATAGGACAGAACAAAAACAAAATGTTGCTTTTTTTGTTCATATATTTGGTACATAATGGAAAGTTTGAAAAATATGAACAGAAATTTTTAGTTTCCGGGCATTCCTGTTTGGCATGTGTTAGGGACTTTGCGCAGATTGAGCGTCGTAAAAGAGTCACAAAAAACTATGTACCGGATCATCTTGAAAAAATGATTAGGAGTGCACAACATAAAAATCCATTCAATGTCATTCGTATGAATAGAGAAGATTTTAAAAATCTTCAAGAGATTTCCGATAGCTTTTTAAACACGACCAAACTGAATATATCCAAAGCTTGTTGGATAGAAGTTTCTAAGAAAAATCCAACTTTAGTCAGAACAAAAACAAGGTTTAACGAAATGGAAGAATGGACCTCTTGTAACGTTTTAAAACGAGGCAAAACTTTGAGTGACCTTAAAACAACACCGTTGCCACAGTTAGATTGCAAAAACCGCATATCTCAGGAAAAGGCCAAAAATTTAGAAGACATGTTAGATTACATACTACTTGCATATATCTCATTTTATACCGGTATCATCGAAAAAACCAAGCACAACAATCCAGAGTAAACATTTTGAATGGAATTACTGGTTTCACATAGACCCTTTTACAATGACACGATGCATTAGACATAGGACCTTCTAAAAATTTAATATTTTATTTTGTGTTCCAACATATATTTCGTTTATTTTTGCTACCTTTTTTCGTAAAATGTTAAATAACCTGATGTCTTAATCGAATAAATTTAGTTTCATATTTTTTTGTTGTATTTGACATCGCTACATCACAAGAATATCTTATTTCTTCATTTTCTCGGAAGTAAAATTTTCGCACTTAGACCCTTTGGGAATATAACGCTTCAATTATAGAATGTTGTGGCGAAGAAATCTTGGACATAGTTTTAAGTCGCGTCAGGCAAAGTCAGTGTTACAGTATTATATTTGAAGAAACTACAGACATTAGCCATAAATCATAAATGTCAATCGTATTGCGGTATTGTTATCAAAAACATATTTACGAGGACTTCATGGGATTTGTGGATTTCTATTCAAATTTTGATGAAGATGCGATGGAGCTCAAACTTACAGGTCAAATTCTTGCTCAAACAGTCAAGCATTTCATTAAAACCAATAACTCAGACTCAAAACGATGTGTGGGTATTGGTACTGATATGTATAACCTAATGTTAGTTGAACAAAAGGGCGCTGTAATGGAATTGCAAAAATGTTTGCGAAATGCTCTAAAAAGCCCATGCGCCTTGAATCTTTCGATTTCAAAGAGCAGCAGTGTCCAAACAGTAAGAAATACTGTAGGTATAATGAAGGAAGTAATTGCGTTCTTCAAAGCATCCGCTAAAAGAAATAGAGTATTAAAAAGAACACTAGACGGATATCAAGTTCACAGTACGTGCGAAACATGATGGATCGAGAGACATGATTATCTGCTCCAATTCAAGAAAATTGCAGAGGTACTAAATATTATATCAAATTGGAAAGACCGCGAAGCTTCTTCAAAAACAGAGTCTTTGAAGACTGCCATTACTTCCACCCAATTTTTCGTATCACATAGGAAATATTATTTCAGTTGTACAAGAAAGACGCGCAAATTCCGAAAAACACTTTAGAATACTATTCGCATCTATAACGATATTACATGAATCCCTGGGTATTGAACTGACTGTGCCAATAATAACAAGCAGGCAAATGAACAGACCGAACATAGTTACGTCCGACAAGGAAAATCATCACAGACTGAACCTATATGTCCCTTTGCTAGGTAATATATTACAATTACAGGATTTGGTATACCGGTTCAATGAAGAATCTTTGAATATATATAATTTCAATTTTTTCTTTGCGTCAGTATTTAATTCAAAAACTGAGGCTGAAGTAGTGGACATATTAGAAACAATCTCTAAATACATGGACTAAATAGTAACGAAAACAAAAAATCAGTTCCAAATTAAAAGCAGAATTTGACCTTTGGAAGTCACGTACATGAAAATATCTTTCCTTCAATTAATGAATGCCTACAATTATTGATTTCATTGCCGGTAAGTGTTGCGACACTTGAAAGAAGTTTCTCCCATCTAAAGAGGATAAAAACTTGGCTGCGCTCCACTATGTTACAAGAGCGATTAGAGGGTTTAGCTCTTTTGTATATACATATTAAAATAGACGTGAATACAATGATAGATCGGTTCGCCAGCAAAAAGAATAGGCGCCTTGATTTTGTAATATGATAACACCAGAACTTTGCCTATGGTTTTCTCTCAAATCCATCTCCCTTCTGTTGGCCAATAAATAAAAAGCAGATGTAGTTAAAGGTTTACTCACGTTTTCCAAAGTATCCAGTCAAGATATGTGGTTTTATTTATTGGCCAGCAGATTGATATGTATGTTCAAATTTTGTTCAAATCACCTTCTAAGCTAATGTAATGATTGTTTTATTTTGAGACTGTGAACTGATGTAGTTTCATAGTTTATATGTTTTTGTTTTTTGAGATTGGCTAAGAGAGTGCAGTTATACAATGAATATTTTTGTGTTCTTCTCATGATTAAAAATTTTATTTTGATTTACATTCAGTTTTATACTTTATAGAAGTCGTAACATATTTGCTATTATTATTTTTTTAATGAAGATGTATTTTTTGTTGTTTTATCTGACATTATTATCTAGAAAACTTGTTATCTAGAAAAGTCTGCGATAGATTATATTATTTTGCATTCTTCTTTTAATATCTGAAGATTTCTCGAGCTTAGTTTGCTTTATTATAATATATATATATTTTGAGACGTGGTCATTGTCGTCTAGACCAGTTAGGTGAAAAATTAAAGCTTCCGCCTTTTGTTGGGTACTTCGACAAAATTTAAGCAAAGAGGACTCTTTATACTTTTTTAATTCTCTCTAGCTTCCAATGGACTTTGCCATCATCACCAGGAGCTGCAATTACAATGATAACAGTAGCAACAAAAGTGTAAAATGAATTTAAATTGACTCAACTTACAGTAGTATGTGAGGATGTTGCTAATTGTTGTTTACGTATAGGATGAGGGAAACGTCCAGTAACATGGTGACAGCTGGATAGATGGTACAATGGTCAAAATTTTATAAAATATGACAAGAACAAGTTAAAAACAGATTAAAAATTATTTAAAAACATTAGAGCATTACATCGTGAAGCCACTTGATGATTGCACAAAATGATGGTCATGGAATAATGAGTGAGATGAAACCCTTTGACAGAAGGTCGAAGGTTGTCAATGTCTGTGTTGAAAGATGGAACGAATTGTGGGCGTGTGCCAAACGTTGCCAACTCACTATATTTTAATTAATGGGAATTTAAATTAACAATTATTAATAAATCGTGAGAAGAGAATTGTTATATTTTGAGTGGAATGAAATTTACTGGTGGAATCGGCCAAAACACAGATTCTATTTATGGTTGTGAAGAGTCGAAATTTGGGGAGATCAAGAAAACACCTTTCCAAACGTTTATTCCTGGAAATGTCCCACATTTTCATGAATAACAACTGTATCAACAAAAAGACAGATGTTAAGCAACTGAGTGTCATTTACTCATATTTGCTAAACTGCGAAAAATTGGAGAACTTACATATCTCCCCTGAAGTGATTTGGCAACGTTTGGCACACGCCCACAATTCGTTCCATCTTTCAACACAGACATTGAAAACCTTCGGCCTTCTGTCAAAGGGTTTCATCTCACTCATTATTCCGTGACCACCATTTTGTGCAATCATCAAGTGGCTTCACGATGTAATGCTCTAATGTTTTTTAAATGTTTTTTAATCTGTTTTTAACTTGTTCTTGTCATATTTTATATAATTTTGACCACTGTACCATCTATCGAGCTCTCACCATGTTACTGGACGTTTCCCTCATCCTATACGTAAACAACAATTAGCAACATCCTCACATACTACTGTAAGTTAAGTCAATTTAAATTCATTTTACACTTTTGTTGCTACTGTTATCATTGTAATTGCAGCTCCTGATGATGATGGCAAAGTCCATTGAAAGCTAGAGAGAATTAAAAAAGTATAAAGAGTCCTCTTTGCTTAAATTTTGTCGAAGTACCCAACAAAAGGCGGAAAATATATATATATATATATATATATATATATATATATATATATATA